GCAGTGTCCCTCGGCCGGCAGCATCCTGGCCCCACGCTGCTGCTGTCCCAGCTCCTCAGGGTGACCAAATTGAAGGGGGCAGCACGGATGGGTGTGGGAACGGGTTGCTGAACCCCTGGCTACACCCCACTGCCCTCCCCGAGCGGGGAAGGGAAAAAGCCCCCTCTGCTCTAACCAATAGGCACCACTCCCCTCCCGGAGCTAGGGACAGAACCCAGGAGTCCCCAGCTAACCACTAGCCCTGCTCCCCTCCTAGACCTGGGGAAAGAACCCAAGAGTCCTTCTTCCCAGCCCCCCGCAGTCCACTGCTCTAACCACTAGGCCCGATACTGCCCTCCCCGAGCGGGGAAGGGAAAAAGCCCCCTCTGCTCTAACCAATAGGCACCACTCCCCTCCCGGAGCTAGGGACAGAACCCAGGAGTCCCCAGCTAACCACTAGCCCTGCTCCCCTCCTAGACCTGGGGAAAGAACCCAAGAGTCCTTCTTCCCAGCCCCCCGCAGTCCACTGCTCTAACCACTAGGCCCGATCCCTTCCCAGAACTGGAGAAAGACCCCAAGAGTCTTGGGGCTGCCCTACCTGGAGAATAGAACCCAGGAGTCCTGGCACACAGCCTCCTGTCCCTCCCCTCCCCCTCTAACCACTAGGACTCTCTCTCCTTTCAGAGCAGGGGTCCTGGCTCCTAACCGTCCCTGTTCTAACTCGTTTGGCTTCGCTGCCTCTCTCCCCCCCTCCAGGTCATTAACTTCTCCCCTGCGCTGTACGACTTTGTGACCAAGGAGATGAGGAAGAACTTGATCCTGGTGCTGAACAAGATCGACCTGGCGCCGCCGGCGCTGGTGGTGGCCTGGAAGCACTACTTCCAGACCCGCTTCCCCCAGGTGCGCGTCGTCTGCTTCACCTCCTACCCGCAGCAGGACCAGGACCCCAGCACAGGTAACGCCCCTGCCCCCAGGCTGGCTCGGGCTTTGGGGCAGGAGGCCTTGCCCTAGAGGGCTGGGGGAGGGGAAGGGTGCTCAAACTTTTTTTTTTTCCTCGCCCCCCAGCTGCAGAAAATTGTTGATGCCTGCGACCCCGCGTAATTCTGACCAGAGTGCAGGCTGCGAGGGTGAGGGGTTTGAGGCGGAGGGGGTGAAGGCTTTGCCTGAAGGTGTGGGCTCCGGGCTGGGGCCGGAGATGAGGGTTCTTGGGGTGCAGGCTGTGGGGGAGTGGAGCAGAGGGGTTTGGTATGTGGGTGGGGACTGTGGGCTGGGCCATGGGGGTGAGGTACAGGGGGTGTGAGCTCTGGGGAGTGCCGGAGTTGGGGGATTTGGGGGTATAGGCTGCAGGGATGGGGTGCAAGCTATGGGGTGGGGCTTGGGGTGCAGGTGGTGTGTGGGGGGTGGAGCAGAGGGGTTCAGTATGTAGGTGGGGACTCTGGGTTGGGGCATGGGGGTGGGATACAGGGAGTGCAGGCTGTGGGCTGGGGTCAGGGATGAGGGGTTCAGGCTGCAGAAGGGGGGTTCTGGGCGTGAAGGAGCTCAGGGCTGGGGCACAGGCCTGCCTCTGGCAGCTCCCAGCCAGCGATGCGGTAGGGTGTCGAGGCAGGTTCCTGTCTGGCCTGGCACTGCGGGCCCCACTGCACCCGGGAAGTGGTCCCGCAGCAGATCCGGGTCCACGGCCTGACCCCGGCCTCAGCTCTGGCGCCGCACTCCCATTGGCCGGTTCCCGGCGCGTCTGGAGCGTGGGGTGAAACGGGATCGGCGCCCTTCTGTGCCTGGTTTTGCTTTTGTTTCTTGGGAGAGTTGGCTCCTCCACCTCCACCTGGGAGCCGGGTCTGCTGCCGGCGGCTTCCTCTGAGCCAGGGCGTGGTCCACTGCGCCGGGACAGGCAGGAAGCTGCCTCAGCGTGGTCACCTGGTTGCCCTGCAGCAACGAGACCCAGTGCCGGGTCGCGACCTGTCCGTTAAAATCACGGTTGTGGGGGGCGCTGGCTCCGATCTGGCTGCCGATGAACTTGGCAAGGGACGTTGGAAAACGTTAGCGCTGAGCTGGCGCCCAAGAGTCCGGGCCCCCTACTCTAACCCCTGCTTGTCCGTCAGTGTTTAAGAAGCGGCGGAAGCGGCGGAAGGGCTGGAGCACGGCCATGGGACCAGAGCAGCTGCTGCAGGCTTGCGAGAGCATCACTGCTGGGAAAGGCAAGATCCCCCCACCCCTCTCCTCTCCTCCCCGCCTCCCACTCAGCCTGGGGGGGACACCCCTCCCAGTCCGCTGCTGTTCCCCCCCCCTGGGCTCCCAACACTTTTTCTGGGTTGTGCGGCTCACTCGCCCATCGGGGGGGAGGGCGAGAACAGCCGCACAGCAACACCGCACTGGGATCGCAGTGAGATGCAGCCACCTCTGGGGCAGAGCTGCAAGGGAACAGCCGCACAGCGAACCCCCTGGTGATGGGGACTACGTGGGGTATTTCAGAGAGACAGAAAAAGTAACAGGATGAGTTGGAATTTGGCCAGGCCACTGGGTTTTTGTCAGTTTGGGAATTAGGTGGACAATTCATAACATCTCCTTGGGGTTTATCGCTGACTTGGGGGGCAGCATGTGGCAGAATGCCTCCCCGCATCTCCCATCCATGTCATGCGCAGAGCAGGCCCTGCTTAGCTTCCTGCATCCGCCCCCAGCCCTAGCAGGTGTGCTACAGAGTCACTGGCTGGCATCCCTTTGACTCTGCTGCTCTCCCCAGTGGACCTGAGCAGCTGGAAGGAGAAGATCGAGCGGGACGCGGAGGACGAGGACGACGAGGGAGCGGCCGTGCTGGTGGAACACCAGACCGACGTGGCCATGGAGCTCGGGGCTCCCTCCCAGGAGCTCTACAAGGACGGCGTCCTGACCGTGGGCTGTGTGGGTGAGAGCGTCCCCCGCCGGGGGGAGGAAGGGGGCCATACCGCGGAGCAGTGGCTGGGGTCTCCTTCTGGCTGCTGGGGATGGGGGGCAGTAGCTGGAGAGGCTGCGTGGCAGGGGAAGGGGTGTTTGGGAGGAGGGCTCTCAGTTGGGTTTCCAGGGAGCATTGGGGTGGCAGGTGAGTGGATGGGGAGATGGGGG